ATTCCGAAATGGCTCAATTTAGGAATAGTTTAATGGTTGCTGAATTAAACTACGATAAGGAAAACTTGGCTGCAATTCACATGACATTAATGTCAACCCTGACCACTGAACAAAAGTCGGTTTACAAAGAAATTATGAACTTCATTACAATGCAATCTGGAGGACTTTACTTCTTGCATGGATATGGAGGCATGAGAAAAAAGTTCATTTGGACAAATTTGTCTGCGGCGATTAGGTAACAAGGATTGATTATTTTAAATGTTGCTTCAAGTGGGATTGCTGCTCTATTTTTACTTGGAGGTAAAACAGCTCACTTACGTTATGTATTCCGTTAGTTACAACTGAAACATCTATGTGCAACATAAAGAAATGCACCGACAAATGCAATCTCATATTGCATTCCGAACTTATAATATGGGATGAAGCGCCAATGTTGAATCGGTTTTGTGTCGAGGATGTTGATCGCTTTTTGAGGGACATAATGAGGACTGTAGATTATTCAAATAAATACAAACCATTTGGGGGAAAGGTGGTTGTATTTGGTGGAGATTTTAGGCAAATATTACCTATGGTAAGAAAAGGTTATAGGAACAACATCGTATTGGCTTCAATAAACTCAATTGAACTGTGGAGATATTGCAAGGTGTTGAGTTTGACAAAGAACATGCGACTGTCCGCAACAAATTCCTCTCAAAACTCAGGTGAAATAGAAGAGTTCTCAAATTAGATTCTTGATATTATAAATGGTAAATAATGCTCAGATGAATATGGAGAAAGCATGATTCAAATCATATGCGACTTATTAGTTGCGTAGTCAGATAATCCTCTCTTATCTCTGGTTGAAGTAACGTATCCACTCCTTTTACCGAACATGAACAATCTGAAATAATACGAAGAAAGAGCGTTACTTTCTCCTTCTTATGATGTGGTATATGTCGTTAATGATTTTGTTTTGTCATTGATTCCAGGTATTGAAAAAGAATATCTCAGTTCCAACACAATTGTTATTTCTGATGAAAATTCCTCAGATCATACAGATTGGTTCACACCAGAATTTCTAAATGACATGAAATATTCGGGTATGCCTAATCACCTATTAAAGAAAGATTGATGTTACAATCATACTGCTCAGGAACACAGACCAGTCTAATGGGCTATGCAATGGCACAAGGTTGATGATAAACAAGCTATGTCAAAAGATTATTGGTGCCACTATCATCACAAGAAAAAACATTGGTGACAAAATTTACATACCAAGGATGAATCTAATTCATTCTGATCCTAGTTTTCTATTTAAGTTTCAGAGGCGACAATTTCCAATTGCCCTGTGTTTTGCAATGACCATAAATACGAGCCAAGGTCAATCACTATCGCGGATCAATTTGTATTTACAATGCCCGAAAATTACACATGGTCAATTCTGCGTTATTGTTTCAAGGGTTAAGTCTCGAAAGGAATCAAAGATTCTTATATTAGATGGTGAAGGAAACTTGTGTACGAAAACTACAAATGTTGTGTACAACGAGGTTTTCGATAATTTCTAACACTGTAGAAAATGGAAAATGTTTTTTTTCCAATTTGATAGGATGTTTCACTATAACTATGTAATAGAATTGAAACTTTGTATTATATACGAAATCATTGTTTTTTTGACAATTAACATTTTGATACAATACGAACGTCATTGTTTCATTGTTATGTAATATTTTCGTATATTAAGTGTTTCATGACTATAAAATCGTTATATGACACACTTCATGGACATAAATTAACTACAAAAAGTTATGTATATTAGATTAATCAATGTGTTAGCAATCTTATAAGACAAATTTATGACATGATTGTGTTTTAGAAAAATCTTCATATTGAATTCGTTTTTCCCTCAAGTCTCATATTGAACAATTTCTTATAAACATTAATCGTTCATCACTATTTTTGTTCATCAGATGACCAATTGAAAACAATTTTGAATAAAAACTCTCTTTAAAATCACTCTGCATATAATAGTGATGAACTTTACATTAACCAAACTAATCAAACCATTCATGAAATTACATGTTTGCTAGGATCTTCCTAAAACCTCATTTGCTAACAGCCATCACAACAACAACTAGCTATCACTGCCATTGCAGCCATGACTGTAATGAAACTTCTATTTAATGCAATTATGGCAATCAGTTCTGCCATAACAATCAGTTCTGCCTTACTAACAACACAATGATTCATAATTGTTAACAACAACTTGTGCTATTGCTACATCATAACCATATCATACAAATGCCTTAGCAACAACACCAACTTTCTATATTGTTTATGGCAAATTATGCAATTACTAATCAGTTATAATATCTAAATTACATGTCATATATGAAACCAAGGTCATTGATACCAAAATTAAAACACAACTATTACATATGTTAGTTCAAAGTTTCATACACTATTTTTAAACCTAAACCACCAAGATGAAACAAAAATTACTTCTTCATATCTTAAATGTTAATCCACCTGGATCAATCTTTATCAATCGACACCGACAAACAACTTGCAAGAGAATACTCAATCGGAAATTTCAACAAATCCCCTTTACCCAATCGTCGCGCTTCTGCAAATCCGTACCAACCTTTGCAGATGTACGTTTCAATCTCTGTCGAATCTTTATGATTCTTCAATTTGCACTCGTATTTCTTGCTCATATCAGTATCGTGGATTGTAATTGAACTTTATGACTCCGTAAAATACTCCTTTATAACTGCAGCTGGAACTTGCTGCCTAATGACATAGAAAATTACTCCTTACCAAATCATTTTACATACATAATCTATATCTATACAATATGTAAACTATGACTTACAAACACGTTTTTCCTGATTCTTCTTGCATCATTGACCCGTTTGTTCCATTTCCACACATTTCAGAAACGGGAGTTACCAACTTTGGAAGCTGCTACCAACCTCTTAGACTAACTACATTTTCATAACATGTAACATACGAATTATTCGTTAACGGTGATATATTTAAATGTTTCTATTTGTTTTAAACTCTCAAAACATTAATTACAACATAAATACTAAATACTACTTTAACTATGCGTTCGGTACGTCTTAATAATATAAATTAAAACACTTTACCATTCACTTTCAGATGATATTGATATGTGAGAATAGACAGGACTTGCAATCCTTTTCCCTTTCTCTACATCAGCACTTTGAATGAACTCATTGGAAGGTTTCTTTAGTTCAACATCAGCACTTTGAATGAACTCTTTGGCAGGTTCCTTTAGTTCAGCATCAACACTTTGAATGAACTGCTTGGCAGATTTCTTTAATTCAGCATCACGTTTAACTCCTTTATCGGCTGATGCTGGCACACTCTCTTTCATTGGATCGACAACAAAAACATTTTATGTCCTGTTTAGCAACTTCTTTCGGTTCAAGTTCATATTTTCCTCCAACACCACATGCTCCCAACACCTCTACACAAAATTCTTCGTAGCTAAATATTTTCCTGATCTTTTTTTTTTCCAGAGCAATCGCTCTTTCTCATGATCCAGATAGCAGAGGTACATCTGTTGACGCTCATTTTCGTCAAAATGTCGAAGCTTGAGATTTTCAGCTCTACAACAAATAACAACATGCAAAAAATATTGTTTATACACCGTATATGTCGCTAACATCATGTTTTCCTTCTCTCTGACTCTACGATTTACCAAAAAATAAACAATTCTACAGTAATCCGTATGAATCTGTAATGGTTTTAAAGTGTTCACATATAATTATACCTAAAAAAACATTAACCTAATTATCCGATAACCAAAAAAATTAAAAATTAAAGAAAATAAAAACAAAAAAACAAAGACAAATTATAAAATATTAACAATAATAAGACAACATGATTGAAGAATACCTTAATCATCTCATGACAAAAAATACTTAAAGTTTGAAATGATAGTTTTTACAATCCACAATTTTAAGAAATAAATAAATAAATTCGCCATAATTTTAGAAAATTAATAAATAAATCAATCTTTAAATTATGGAAATGGATTATTTTAATTAATAATAAATAAACAAATAATAAATAAATAAATAAATATTAATAATTACTAAATTAACTGACTCTAAAAAAGTTTTTAAAAAACTTAAAAATTTTAATTAATAAATAAATTCTTTATATACATAAAATGTATTTTTTCTCTTTAATTTAATTTAAACCCGTGACTAGCGCTGGTTTATACACTAGTGTCATCTGTTTCTTTCTTAAACATTTCATTCCCTCTCATCTGAATAATTTATTTATTTATATATCTCCTAACTATGTATGCGCAAGTTGTCAAAGTTACTAAATTGAAAAAGTAGCCTACTCATTTTCAAATTTATGTAAAGCTTCAACATTTGCAAGTGGCTTGTATCATGTATGCATGGTTGAGGGAGGCCATATGCATGGTTAGGGGAGAAACATTATTGTCAAATGATTAAAAACATTTATCACTTTGTGACAGCATGTTGATGAATAAACTTATTCTATGGTCGTTAATTTTTCAATTTGGATAGGGGAGTAAAATGCCAATGCCCTATAATTGAATCAATTCAATTCATGAAACTGCATCATGAGCCAGTAAAAAATGCATCTAAGCTGGGGGCTGAGTATAATTTGTACATCAATATTAAATAATAAAACATATAAATATACACCTCAAAATCTGGAACTACAAACTTATATATGTGAGTAATGAATATAAATGGGCAATTGCCTTAAATCTCCATACATATCCCAGTCAGCAAGCTAAACTTCCTCTCCCCATAATTTCAATCCTTTAACTCTCTGTTCATTAATTAACATCAATAAATCTGGCCAAACTGCATTCCAATCTACTGGCGGGTCACGTAAAGATTTCTATTTCTTGCACAGGTTCAGGCCAAGAAAAGCAAATAGGCCAAAGATCTGAATGAGAAAATCAAGTTATGATAATTCAAGCTTCCATGTTTGTATAAAACTTTACATCAGTTTTCATCAAGGGCAATATCAGCAGGATCTCCTATCCAAGGCCTCCCTTCCCTCCATCGGAACCTTATTCTTAGTTTACCATTTGCATCTACTCCTACAACTTGTCCCCTGCTGGCGTGGGTTTCCATTCCCCATCCCCACCGCGGCGATACCAGTCCATCTCTGATCTTTACTTTGTCTCCCACTTTGTACGGCCTAACCCGTTCCATTTCACTTGCCTTACAAAGCCATAACCGCTCCACAAAACAGAATGACACCCATAGGTTATCGTCTTCCATCCGATGCACAACTCCAACACTTGAATGACTCACTTCTCCCCAATGGTGGGTTGGAGTTGAAACTGATGCTCTAACCTTTACCCAGTCTCCAATACAAAGCTCCTTCTCTTCTACCACCTCAACTTCTGATGGGTCCAACATCCATGTTTTTGAACCTGCTGGAGTGTATATTCGAAGCTTTCCATCAGCATCAATTGCTTGTATAGTACCAATACTAGCATGGGTGTGCCCCGACCACCCAAATCTAGGTTGTTTTACATATTGTTTCACTTTAATTTTCTGTCCCACAAAGAGTTTGTCAACTCTTTCAAGATGAGAACTTGGTCCTACCCATTTTTCCTGCTCCCCACAAAAGCCAACAAAAGTGCTTCTATCAATTTCATCTCCTTCATACCCTATTCCTTGAACAACGCCAACACTACCTGGCCCAATTGATTTCCAATCATTTGCATTTTCTTTCAATCTCACCCACTCTCCCACTTCAAAGATTTGCTCTGCCTGCAGATCTGAAGGATCACCTTTCCACAGTCCTGGCAAACCAAAGAATGCAACCCTGACTTCTCCATCCGCATGAATACTGGTTATAATACCTTGAGATTCAGGCTGAGCTCCTCTCCAACCCCACCTAGGTTCAACCAAACCAAGTCGGAACCTAACATACTGCCCAACTTTAAAGCTAGGAACCTTTTCAACATCTGTATAATGAGTGATCCACTTCCCTTTACGGAAACAGCAAGCCAACTCCAAATAACCAGAATCCTGTACACTATGCACAACAGCTAAACTCTCTCTCCCAACACTATTCCAGTCATAACTAGGTCTAGTTCCCAGGCTTGGTTTAGAGCGTACCCAATCCCCAACCTCAAATCCTGGAAGTCGCTCGGCATCTCCAGGAGATACTTTCCACAAGCTCTGCCTACCAGTGACCCTCGCCTACAAACAGAAAATTTAAATCACTTATTGTCTGCTGTAACCACAAGATGAAATCAAATTACAAATTAAAATTGTCAATTGAATGTATCATAGAATGTGAGTGAATCCCAAGGTATAGTGGTCAATATTTTGGTATCATTTTCTAAGATGGGCTGGAGTGGCAGAAAAGCTAAATTATCTGCATAACTTTGATTTTAGCCATATAAAGTGGAAAAAATCCCCCCAGAAAAATGCTAGTACCTAGGCCGTGTTTATATTGATTTATAAGATTTAATACCAATCTGGGTCTATGACTGTTTAAGTCCTGTTTAGTAGTAATGGAAGACACTTCATAAGTTATATCACTTACATTGAGAGCACCATCCATGTCAATTCTCACTATTTTTCCAACAGTAGCTGGTGATTCATTAGACCACCCAAGCCGTGGCTGAGTAACAGATTGCATCACATGAATTTCTTGTCCCACCTGAAAAGGAGGAACTTTCTCCACATCAGTAACCGAGCAAGAAAAAGGCTTGCTTCTGAAGCAAAAGGCAACACCCATATCGCCATCCTCCTCCAAGCTATGAATTACCCCAATACTGTTCCTTGTAATATCCTCCCATCCATATTTTGGAGAAGATACCGAAGCTTTCACTCGAACCCAATCTCCAACCTGCTTTCAGATATATTAAAATTTTAAATACAGAAGACACCAATGAGGTATTACACAATAAATATAAGGTATAAACTTAAAATGGAAGCAAATGATCATTATCAGCTAAAGGAATTGTCACCTTAAAATCTTCCACTTTCTCCATATCAGATGCATCAGCTTGCCATGGTATGGGACGATTTGGTATGTCTATTATTAAAAGACCATCATTCTCAATCTCACTTATTCTTCCAACACTATGATGTGTCTCACCACCCCAAGCATATCTAGGTTCTGCGACAGAACGCTTCACACAGACCCTATCACCAATCTGAAGACAAATTCAAATCATGTAAGAGAAACAGAACATAAATAGTAAATTAGACAATTAAAATTTAAATAATCTATAATCTTCTTACCGTAAAAGGAGGAACATGCTCAACCTCTTCTGGTTCACAATGCCATGGATTTGGAAGATAGCTCAGTTCAATTAACAGACTACTGTCAGGTCGGATACAATATACAATACCAATGCTTCCTGGTGTCACAGATCCTAATCCATGCTTTGCAGATGTAAGAGTTGGACGAATACGAACCCAATCTCCAACCTTGAACTCCTCAACACGTTCCATCTCTGCTGGGTCAGCTTTCCATCCTCTGGATGCTCCAGGAAACCCAACACGGAGGATTCCATCCTCGTCAACACATAATACGGTCCCAATGCTGTCACGTGACTGCCCACGCCAACCAAACCTAAAAGAGACAATAGTCGTCAAAATCAAATGTAAGCATTTGAAAGCATGGCATGCACAAGGCCAGATTAATAGAATTTAACAATTAAGGCATAAGTTGGTTTGTATATTATCATTCTCTTCTGCTGTATGAGCATAATAAATCCCCGGAAAAAAAGTTAAAAATAATAGCCTGCAACCATCCTCCATGACTTATCCGATGCTATTTATTATCATACAAAGTTTCTTTGGAACACTTTTTTGATCCATGTAGCCAAACTCAGAGGAAAATGGATTTAGTTATTCTTGTTGCAATTCTAGCTTAATTTTCAGAGTCTGTCTTTTGAATTTCCATCAATGTTGAATAGGAGAGAAAACGAGAGAAAAATGGTGAAACCGTGTGTGTATTGAAATTATGATGTAATACATAAAGCAGCCATTACATTGCATGCACTATTAAGTGTTGCAGTTATGCAAAATCATACCTAGGCTCTTTTACATCTTCTTTCAGTTGTACATGTTGTCCCCTGTCCAATGGAACAACTTTTACAACTTCATTTGGCAGAACATGAACATCTCCCGAACAAAATGAAACAACGAGATTATCCCTGTCTGGAACACTTTGCACAAAGCCAACACTCTTTGGTCTAGCATCTTGCCACCCATATGTTGGAGTTGTGACAGTTCTTTTAAACTTCACCCAATCTCCCACTTCAAATCTACATATATCAATAATTTAAAAAAAATAAAATTAATGTATATTTGTTGCAAATGGATAGACAATAAATACTACATCCAGTAAAAAATTCCAGAAAATGGTGTCTTCCACACACATTGTAGGAGATAAATGAACTCCTCTATTTGTGAGTGCTTCCATCAGATCTTCAGATATCCATTCTCGGGGTAGAGCCTCTAAAATGTCCCGTAGTGTCTTGCCACTATCACAAAAGAAACTTATCAGTCACAGTAATGATTTGGAATTCAATGTGTTCAATATGCTGATGTGGATGAACAGTTAACAGTTAAACATGGAATCAATGTTTGATGATAACAACTTTTCAGATGTTAAAACAAATTTGTTTAAAAATTGAAATTTAACGAAAATGGTCTTCAGTTGTGAGCTTGTGACTTTACCTGTGGTTTCTGACTTCAATATCGGCATCGGGATTCTTTAACATAACAATAAGCCAGTCCAGATTTTCCCGTATCATTTTTGCTGTTTCTGCTGCTATATGGAAAGCATTATCACCATCATCATCCTGCTCAAAAGTTACATTAGAACCATTATTCACAGGGATGTAATGGTAAGCTTCGTTCTAAAAGATAGGGAAAATACTAACTTCCAATTATTTCCACTAACTAAACAAAATTCAGAGTAAAAATAAGTTGCTCATACTAATCTTGGATCATGCACAAAAGTATGTGCAAAAGGTTCAAATACGTAGTTAATACAAGGAGCACGACAAACAAAAAACGAATACAATTCACTGTCATGGCAACAAGCACATAACACCAAATATAACAATAGATACTGTTAGATATCGGAATATTCCATATTATGTAAATAGAATATTCTGTAAGTAATTAGGATATCATGTAAATAGGAAATAGAATATTATGTAATTATTATAGAATATTATGTAATTACTATGGCATTTATGCATCCTATTATATATAATGAGCTCCGATGTGTAATTCACACACACGGATTCAATCCAACCTTCCTCTTGTTCGCTGAACATAAAAATAGACACCTAGTTGAAACCACTAGGACACTCTTACTTCACAATAATGTTCCTCAACATTTTTGGAGTGATGTTGTCCTTACGGCTTGTTATCTCATAAATAGGATGCCATCATCTGTCCTCAACAATCAGATCCTTCACTCTATTCTATTTCCTCACCAGTCTCTTCACCCATTACAGCCTAGAGTCTTCGGGTCTACATGTTTTGTCCATAATGTTAGTCCTGGGCTAGACAAACTCTCAGCTCGTTCTCATAAGTGTGTGTTCTTAGGCTATACAAGATCCCAAAAGGGATATAAATGTTACTCCTCGTCTCTTCGTCGATATTTCGTCTCTGCTAATGTCACATTCTTTGAGTCAGTCCCTTACTTTGGGACGTCTACAAGGTCTGAGTCCCTATCACCCATGTTTTCTTCATCTCCCACTACTGCCCCACCAAACGTAGTTCTGTCTCCTTTGCCAGCCAATCCAGCCCCATTAGCTCCTTTGCAGGTTTATCGACGTCGACCACGGCCACCTCCATTACCATCAACTAATGCAGAAATCACCATAGACTCCCCTCCGGATCCAACTCCTTTGACCCCTCCGGTCCTGTCCCCTGAGACTGATTTCCCAATTGCACTTCGCAAAGGTATACGTTCCACTCGTAATCCATCTCCTCATTATGTTAACTTGTCTTATCACCGCTTGTCTTCTTTGCATTATGCTTATATTTCCTCTTTGTCTTCTGTGTCTACTCCCAAGACTGTAGGTGATGCTTTATCTCACCCTGGCTGGAAACAAGCTATGCTTGATGAGATGTGCGCTCTTCAGAACAGTGGCACGTGGGACCTTGTTCCTCTTCCTCTTGGAAAATCTGTTGTAGGTTGCAGGTGGATTTTCACAGTCAAAGTTGGGCCTGATGGACAAGTTGATCGTCTCAAGGCACGTTTAGTGGCCAAAGGTTATATACAGCTGTTTGGCCTAGATTATGGTGACACCTTCTCTCCCGTGGCTAAAATGGCCCCGGTTCGATTATTTCTCTCTATGGCAGCTAGCTATTCGCCCCTGGCCCCTTTACCAGCTTGACATCAAGAACGCATTCCTCCATGGTGATTTGTGTGAGGAAGTTTATATGGAGCAACCTCCTGGGTTTGTTGCTCAAGGAGAGTCTTCTGGACTAGTTTGTCGTCTTCATAAGTCTTTGTATGGACTTAAGCAATCTCCTAGGGCTTGATTTGAGAGATTTAGCACTGTTATTCAAGAGTTTGGTATGATGCAATGTGAAGCTGATCATTCAGTGTTTTATCGTCACTCAGTTGTTTGGTGTATTCTTAATTGTGTATGTGGACGACATTGTCATTACAGATAATGATCATCATGGAATCACACACGTAAAACAACACCTTTGTCATCATTTCCAGACAAAAGACCTCGGCAGACTTCGTTATTTCTTGGGCATAGAGATTGCCCAATCCAAACAGGGGATTGTGATTTCACAAAGGAAGTATGCTATGGATATTTTGGAGGAGACATGACTGTTAAATTCCAAGCCAGTTGACACTCTGATGGATCCCAATGCTAAACTTATGCCAGCTCGGGGGAGCCACTCTCCGATCCTGAAAAATATAGAAGATTAGCTGAAAAACTGAATTACCTCACTGTTACTCGCCCAAATATTTCATTTCATGTTAGTGTGGTAAGTCAATTTCTTAACTCTCCTTGTGAAGGGCATTGGGAAGCTGTGATTCGCATCTTGAAATGTATTAAAGGAGCTCCAGGAAAAGGCTTACACTATGAAGACAAGGGACACACTCGAGTTGTAGGATACTCAGATGCAGATTGGGCAGGTTCTCCTTTTGATAGGAGATCCACCTCAGGTTATTGTGTTTTCTTGGGTGGTAACTTAATTTCATGGAAGAGTAAGAAACAAAGTGTAGTGGCAAGGTCAAGTGCGGAAGCAGAATATCGAGCCATGGCAACAACAACCTGTGAGCTTATATGGCTTAAACAATTGCTTCACGACCTGAGATTCGGGGATGTTTCACAGATGACACTTATTTGTGACAATCAGGCAGCTCTGCATATTGCATCAAATCCAGTGTTCCATGAGAGAACCAAACACATTGAGATTGATTGTCATTTCATCAGAGAGAAGATTTTATCTAGAGATGTCAGCACTAGTTTTGTCAATTCAAATGATCAGTTAGTTGATGTTTTCACTAAGCCTTTGAGAGGTCCTCGAATTAATTATATTTGTAACAAACTTGATGCATATGACATATATGCTCCAGCTTGAGGGGGAGTGTTAAATATCGAAATATTCCATATTATGTAAACAGAATATTCTGTAAGTAATTAGGATATCATGTAAATAGGAAATAGAATATTATGTAATTATTATAGAATATTATGTAATTACTATGACATTTATGCCTCCTATTATATATAATGAGCTCCGATGTGTAATTCACACACACGGATTCAATCCAACCTTCCTCTTGTTCTCTCATTATTCAACATATACAATTCATTCAAGAACTAAGTCAATTATTTTAATTTATAGAAATAATTTCAACATTCATTCTCTGTCTTCTCCATGATACTTTCTAAACTTTAATAGCAATCATGTTCTTTAAACTTATTAACCATCCAACCACCTTTAACAGTATAATACATCAAATATTGAGTCAGAAATGAACAAGTTATATAATGAAGATATAGTAAAATAAAAAGAAACCACTTCGTATAACGAATGAAAAATCAGGGAGAGATAAGCCATTGTGAGCAATAATCAAAAAACCATCTTTAATAATGCTACCAGATCAAAATTTTAACATTATTAATTATTAGAATTTGGGTTACACCTAACTCATTAAAGGGGTGAGGAATGTCTAAGCCTTATAAGAACTACTTTCACACGCACAACATGACATCTAGAATGTGGATAAATGTGGATGGTTTAATATCAGATCTAAGATACACAATGATACCATATTACAATTTCAACTAGGCATAACACAACTGTAAAAGCTGGCTCAAGGGACGGGAATTAGTTAAGCCCCGTAAAAACTATTTTGGCCATCTTAACACTAATTATAACTATAGTTATACGTGATCAAATAGAGGAAATGAGAACTTGGAGTAAAACCTGCAAGTTATAATCTGCCCCAGCAGCTAGAAGCAGTCCGACACATGCCTTTGCACCCCTAGCTAAGGCCAAGTGAAGAGGTATACTGTTGTGCACATTGCGAATGTTCACATCAACACCAGCAGCAAGAATAACCTACTCAAAGCAACCAAAACGTATTAGCACCATCAAAATATTTATGGATACATTGTCATTTTAATCAAGAAGCCAATTCCCAAACCTGAACCAAGTCCACATCATTTGTCATAGCAGCTGTATGCAAAGCTGTCCTCCCATTCTGTGAATCTTGAGCAGATGGATCAGCTCCTGCTGTAAGCAATATCCGCACCAAGTCTCTCCCCTCTATATACAGTATGAATAAATAAAATCAGATGATTCAACTATTTTGTGAAGAGAAGAAATAGTAAAAACGATTTTAAGAATACCCATGCATTAACCTTCAAATTTGAAATGTTAATTTTGAAGACATGTGCGGATTCAACTGAACATTATTGAGTCATCACACGCAAGGGCATACTTCAATTATGATTCAAATGAACTTAGCAATGAAACAATTTAATATAGCGGCAATAATTTGATTCTACTCAAATGCAGATGAATAGCATTATCATTTTACAACAACAAATTAGTTCTAGGTACAACACTTTAACATATAAGTTTGAAATCAAAGAATTGGAACTTCTATAGTTTTGTTATATAAAATGAGAATGAATTAATACCACATGCATAAAATACAAAGCACTAACACTGTTTTCTACAAAGAGTTTGATCAAGTAAACTACAAGCCAGAGGCCAGAGTCCGCTAATATTATTAGCGGGCTGTGGGTTGTAGTTAATATCCATTGAGAGAAAAAAAAAAACCTTCGTTACTAATTAAGGAAACATAATGAAATTTGCAACGAACTCTGTATATTGCTTGCTTGAATAGAGGACTAATTGATATTGCAATATAATCAAAAAGCATTCCAAACATTCTAAAGATACACTGTATATATTATTACTCTTCAATTAAAATGAGTGTATACAAGTAGATTTGTGTATCTCCTTAAGATAGACAGTTAAGTAATGACTCCAACATTCCAACCAATATAGCTCTTGAAAACTATCTGATCTTGGGAAAATCATGAAGTTTACCAGATAAGTGTTAGCTAGAAATAAAAATAAGTACTATGATTTCTCAGTAGAAAGCACAAGTTTAAAGGGGCTTCTTTGAAGATTGTTGGACTTTGGAGTCAAATATGTCGGAAAGGTCAGGTTAACTTTATAGCCTTCACAATATCAAATATAATTTTTACCAGGTTTAACAATAAAGCCGGAGAACTAAGAAATTGTCTTATAAATTTGGACAGAAAGTCAAGAAAGGATAGAGAGAGCATAGAAGCAACATGTGAAGTAGTTCTGCTATTCTCCCCCCAACATGTACAAAGAAAATGGTGGATATTCCTCTCTCCGTGGCCAAATAGTTTAATACAAGCTTGTCTGCCAATTATTTACCATTCCACTGAACTATGTCTTGCTGTTTTAGATCCCTGGTAGGTGTGGTGTGGTTCAGAACTGAGAAGTTTGTGAGAACTTTCTTTGGTATGTATTGAGAGATTAGGTAAGATAGTATCTTGTTAGCTGATAAACCTATTGCACACTTAAGAAACTGGGTCTTAGAAATTTGATTTCAGAAATGTTGCACTGGACTCGGAAGTTAAATGGTTAAAACTTACAGTGCTTTCCTTTAAAGACTACTTTGTGACGCCAAACTATTTAACCAAAATATGTTCAAAGTTCAAATCAAAATAGGTATAAACCTAACAAGCAAATGCCACTCAGTACTCATCCTTTTCTTAGAAATTCATCACCCAGGACAGGAACACTTAAAAAATTCAGAAAACAATTGTTCAAGCATCAAGTTCTGGGGATGTTTAGTGGACGTGTTTTTTTTTTCTAGAGGCCTTTTGTAACCTTTCCAATCTACTCAATGAGCATGATCTTCCTATTAACAGTTTCATTTCTTCTCGATTCTCCCCATTGTCTTGACTCTTACTTTCATAGAAACTTGAATGATGTAGTAGTAAAAGAAGCTAAGCTAGTTACAGTCTCTTCCAGCATTACTTGATTCGGTTCACTTTTCGTCCGCTTCAAAAGATAGTGGAGCAAGGATTTCAGGTTCTTTGAGAATATTTCATTGAAAATCCTTCTACTATCTTCTTACCAATTCTCGTAATCATCGAAGATTCCCAGTTAAATAATCTGAGTTGAAAGTTCAAAGTTCCCTCTGAAGTACATAGTCTTTTTCTGGAAAGTGGTGATTAATCAAAATAATAGAAATTAGCTCTGAAATCTGATGAATCTTATGCAAAATTCTTATTCATATTCAAGTAGACTAGTATAATACCCGTGCGACCGCACGGGTAAATTTATTTAATACAATATAAATTGTATTTGAATATACATGTAAATTTGAAATAAGTTATTTCATTATAAAATAAATAATGATAATATAAACTCAATTGTATTAAATAATCATACAAAATGAGGGGGGAAAAAAGACCTGTGAAATGTAGAAAGAAAAAAATTAAAAATTGACATTTGAAAATAAGAATTTTATGTTTCAAATAAAGACAATTGTTAATTAAAATAAAATATGTATTTTTCTAATAGTGACCCGTGAAAAAAAGAGAAATTTTGACATTTAAAAATAAGAATTTTGTGTCTCAAATAAAGACAATTTCTAATTAAAATAAAATAGGTACTGTATTTTACTAATAGCGGTGCGTGAGAAGAAAAAAAAAAGAAAATTTGGCATATTTGAAAATAAAAAATTTGTATCTCAAATAAAAACAATTGTTAATTAAAATAAAGTAGATATTTTGTTGATAGTGACCCGTGAAAAAAATTTAACATTTGAAAAATAAGAATTTTGTGTCTTAAATATAGGCAATTGTTAATTAAAATAAAATAATTATCTTTATGATAGTGATATGTAAGATGGAAAGTTAGTTGTGTGTATAGATATTAAGAATTATTCAATTTCATAAAATAAATTCTAAATTTTATTAAAATTTAAAATTAGATTAATTAATATTTTTAATAATAATAAATAAATAGAATTGATTAAATTTATCGAAAAACAAAACTAAATGCCAACATTGTATACATTTATACACCAATAAATATTTAATAAGATAATTATATACTATAATTATGAATATACTATAATTATGAAGAGGTTAAAAAATTAAGAAAAGTCAAAATAGAGAATATAAATACTGTATTATTTTAAAAGTAAGAGCTAAAAATATATTTCAACATGATTAATATTAATGTGAATAATCACAATAATTTAAATTTATTTAAAAATAAAAAATTTACATAAAATTTAATATGATACAAACTTGATAGAAAAAATATCTTAAGACTTGTTAGATACTTTGCAATGAGAATAAAATGATTGCTCAAAAAGGTGAAACAAATAAAGATAAAGTTAAAAATAAACAAAAATGTAAAGAATATAAGTGATGTGGCATGTTAGTAAAGGTAGTCAAAGATGAATTCATTATTGCACTGCCATGTGTCAGCACATGATAGCCTTGTAGTGGTATTAATTTGGAAGATTATGTATTTACTCTTTTAATCTTTAGCTAGTGCAAAAAAAATTTAAGTGAATGGCGAAAATGATAGTGTACATGCATCTTCTAATAATAGCTATATAGTTGATTGATACCTACGCTTCAGGGCACCCCTGATCACATGGAACAATTTGCCGGGGGTTATTGGGGAGTGTGGCCCTGACCTCTACTCCAGAACAGTTGCTGCTGATCAAGGCTCTTCAATCATTAAATATAAATTTTGAAGGCATTATATGCAGTTTTTGAGGTTATAAAGTATAGTTGTTGGCGCATTGCATCTTTGGGGCTATCCAACAACCTACCACTCACTCTTTATGGGATATATGATCATTTTATTGGCGTCCTTTGGTGCTTGGCCAGTGGCTAGTTTTAGGTTGCCATTGGAAACAGCAGAACTGCTCCTCCATGATTGATTTTTCTTCCCTTATTTCCTTATTAAATTGTGTTCTTAGTTTTTCCAGCATTGGAGGATTCCTTAACCTCAAAAATTTGTTTTTTGCCTTTCGATCTGAACCCTTGAAATTGACGTGCAGTTAATCTTCAAGGGTTACTAGACAAATTTTGAATATCTTTTTCTTGAATCATCATCCTAGAGACTAAAATACAACTAACTAACTTTACAGTTTTAAAACGCGTGCAATATAACAACTAGGCAACCAAATACTGTAGTAAATAAATAAATAGCTCAATAAGAAAAATAGCCAGTTGTCAAAATCACAACGAAGCAATGATGTTTTGCATACCACTTTCATGGTCTTTCTTAGAAGCAGCTGCCATGCACAAGGCAGTGCCAAGAGGGCTTGACATGTCAATTGCTTCAGCAATCTCATCAGAAGTTGCAACTTCCACCCATCTCTTCACAACAGAAACATTCCATGTTGCTACACACAAGTGCAGCGGCCTGTAACAAGAGTAAAAATGTATGATCAAACTTTATCTCACATTACTGTGTTGGTTCAACTATGAACAAAATGACACATTGAAGAAATTTCTTACATACTAATGTAACTGCACAACAATACCGTCCTAAATTTATAACATAAAATTCCAGAGTGTAAAGCAATATGATTCCTGGATTGTGAGTAAGGTTAAAATATCCGATAAAGCTTCAATTGGACCTTTGGAAGAGCAGTAGTAACAGATCCACTAGTATATTACTTCATTTTTTTTATTACTATAAATGATTTCTTAGTAGAATTCACAAACTTTTCCAAGCAGAAAGAAAATTCCTTACTCAATGATAAAAACATTTTAGGTTATATAGCCTTTGCTACTCAAATAAGGACATGGAATAGGTTGCTACAACTGATTTAAACAGGAATAATGGGCTGTCTGTCCAGCAAACAATAGGATACTTAGAAATATTGAATTGGCAGAGCTAGCCAAAATTTATGAGGGGGCAAATATAAAGAAAAAATAAAATATATTTTTAAAGTTTGATAAACAAACTAACAATGTCTTTTTAATAGAAACATTTAACTAATTTACAAGAAACTCGCCATCTATTTTGTTTTTGAATATTGTTGACAATTTTCAATGTTGACAAAGTTCTCTGTATAGAGACAGTAGAAACTGAGTGTCAAAATAAGACAATAAAGTTATCAATCAAGTAGTAATTTTTTCGACCTTCCTATATTTAGTATTTTTTTTTACAAATAGACTTATTTGGGGTAACAAAATCTATTTTATTAGAGTAGATGAATATAAAAAATACACTAACTTAATTAAAAAATATTTTAAAAAAGGGTAGCTTTCACTAATGGTATCATCTTCAATACCTAACCTAACAACTAATCTTTAACACTATCATCAGAAAAGTAAAAATCTTATTCCTAGGATACTTATTTATCAAGTCCAGGCATACCATGTGGCCGTGATATGAGCAAAAGTAACTAGAATATTAATAATAAAAGCTTAATAATTACTTTAACAAAAATCAAAAACAAGTAATGATGTGCAAAGAAGAAAGAAGTACATTGACAGATACAGTAAGATGATTTAGTGAAGTAATGAATAAAGATTATAAACTAATCCTAGAAAATAAAGAAGATACTCTAGTATGATATAAAGATATTGTAAGATGGAGATAAACAAAGAGACTCTGTTATAAAATTAAAAGTTATATTGGAGTATCTTAGTTTATCTCCTAGGACCAGTTTCTAATCTTAGAATATCTTATATTATCTCTTGGGATTAGTTTCCATATTTAAATCTAAATAAATGTAACTACAACTTCTTGAGAGATATTATTAACAAAAATTTAAGCAAATCCTGATTCACCCTTTCTGCTCAGAAAACTAAACATTGATAACACGCAGAAAGATAACAGTCCCAGTGACAACGGACAACATTGAACTGAATATAAGATACAATTATTCAGGAAATCAACACACCAATCAAACATGACAGATATTCAAAGTAGAAAGCTTCCATTGGCATCAACAGGACACTCCAAATTCTGAACAGGGGAATACATAAATTTGAAGTATACAATTTTTCAATTATAAAAAGTATAAGGACTTTTGTTGTTACTATAAATCTGTAAATTCTGTGAATATCTAATGAATAAGCACTAATCTAGGGAGTTGTATACTCTAGGAATACTAACAATCAATCTAGAATATCTACATGTTAACTTAATTCTAACACTCCTCCTCAAGCTAGAGCATACATGTCATATGCACCAAGCTTGTTACAAATAGATTCAACCCGATGTCCTTTCAAGGGATTTAGTAAACGCACCCATTTTATTTTTTATATAAAAGTATTTGTAAATCTTACAACTTATGACTGGAAATTTTGCAGCAAAGTGATGATGAGATCATAACTAGCTCCACTTATGTAATATAATGATACTCGGCTTCAGTCATTCATGAAACTAAAAATGCAGATTCCGTAAAAATTGGGTTTACGAAATATATCATCATCCTGTTCCCATCCTTAAATGTTTTCGATTGTACAAGTGGAGAAGATATAATTAAAGTAGTTCATAGCACCTCATCCAGTTGAGCTACATCTTTCAACATGAAGGTGCTATGCTACGGACTGAAAAAGACATGCAGCGAACCAGAACACTATAGATGTGAAACTTCATGTTGATGACAAAGCAACTTCAGAAAATCTGTTTTTCCTCAGTCTAATATATAATCTGTTAATGAATATCCCAATAGTTGATTAAGTTTATATACCTCTACACTGATTGGCATACAAATTCTAAGATTTAGGAGTTGTTACTCACGTCAGATTTTTTGAATTCAAGATGGCCATCGATCTACAGCCTCCATTTTCCACTATCACGATAGCACAGTCTGTGAACTTCTTGGCAATTGCCCTGTGCAGTACAGATTCACCTTCATCATCTACTGCATTGGGATCAGCTCCAGCTAAAAGTAACTCCTGTCATTTGTCCGCATGTAATTTAGGTGCATGTAGCTTTAATAAAGAAAAGGGAGCATAAAAGTAAAATTTAGAGAAAACGCACTCGCATACAATCTGGCTGACCATGATAGGCACAGACATGAGCTACTGATGGGCCAAGCCCATCTCTCAACCGTGACCTCACACAAGCATTTCTTTTGATAAGGCTACGAACACATTCATGGGATCCAGCTGCTAAGGCAAAAACAAGAGGAGGATCCCCATCTTTGTCCAAGACATCAACATTAGCCTCTTGATACTCCAGAATTGTCTCAACAAGCTCTGCACTGCCACGTCTACAGGCCAAATGGAGAGCCGTTTGTCCATCAGCATTTTGAGCTTCCAGCAGTGAAGATATGTAGTTACTTTCATTTTCTGATGCAGCCTTTGCCAAGAAGTCTCTGTACATAAATACAAAGAAAACAAATGTAATGACAAAAAGAAAATTTTAGTTTAAGCCTCAAGCAATAAAAAATGGGACACCAACCTAACACCGGTGACATCCCCTTCAGACACAAGTTGATGAAGACGGTTTGGGTCCTGAGGAACTTCTAATTCAGGTATTGGGGAAGGCTCTGCCACATTTGATACAGAGCCCTTAAGAAGGTCACTGTTTAAAAAGAAATACATAACATTGTATGAGATAATCGCTGTTCATTTAACATCGACGAATTTCTTGGAATTGGAAGAACTTATTTGAGTTTATCTTATGACCTAAGCACATGTATAAATGTTTGGAAGAACTTGTCAAAGGAGAGTATAACATGCCCACGAGTTGTTTTTCAACTTAATTTAAGCTTCCCGAGATAGATATATGGAAGAAGTTTATGAAAAGCTAACCCCTTTTCTTCATTCCCATCCATCAACAAAATATAATTTTACAGTAAAAACAAAAGTTGAAAACTCAAATAGATATTTGATTCATATATCCAAAGGAAATAACTTATTATTGAATCATGCACTTATTAAATAACCTCTCATGATAACCACTTATTGAAGAAATACCTAATTAAGTAGTCTATCCAAATTTTACTTGAAGAAGCAAACTGTGCATTGGGCTCATTTGAAATCAAGCTCACATTTCCATATTAAATAAGAAACACCGTAACTGCTAAATCAGATAGTATAAAAACCAAACTTGAAGATGCAGTCATGGTTATAATATACTTAACAAACTTACTTATCAGGGCTTGCAGGAGGGCTACGAGGTATTTCTTGCAAATGTCGGAGAAATATTGCCAGCATTGCATTAAAAGTAGGTCTTTTAGATGGTTTGAATTGTAAACACTCTCCAATCATCTTCCACAACTCCCTTGGAATTCCACCACCAACCACACTAGCATATTGTGGAGGTTGTTTCTTTGCCTTTACAACTGCCCGGTAGATTTCCTCTGCACTCAAGCCAGCCCAACTGCATAAGCATGGTTTTTTTCAATAAGGAGTTTGAAAAAGAAGAGAGAGAAAAAAACAAAGGAAAAAAGCTCGAGTATATAATGAGTTGCTCCACGTACGGAATGGCACCGGTGCACATCTCCACCAATGTACAACCAAAACTCCAGGCATCTGATTCGGGAGATATACCTATTCCATCATCCCAAAACAAATGTAATGACTTCTTCACAGGCTCCCAAGCCTCAGGTGCTGTATAATGTGGGCTAAGCATTATACATTCCATACAGGAATGGATCTTTGTGGAGTCACACTCAGGTCGAGCCTTCCAACAGGAAGGCTTCTTCAGAATTGTAGCAAGTCCGTAATCAGAAACCACAGCATGACCATTTGCATCAAGAAGCAGATTGGAAGGCTTTAAGTTCATGCAAACAACGCCTGCAGCGTGAAGCTCAACAACCCCTCGTGCAATGTCTGCCCCGTATCTACATTAGGAAAATTTCAATGTTACTATTCGTGGCTGTAAAGGGAAATTGAAATGATATGTGGGATAACTCAAAACCCACCAAAATAATTACTATACCTCCTATATAACATGAATAGGAAAACAAGCAATTAAGTCAACACAAAAGCGGGTTGTTACGGAAAAAAAATAAACGAAATGCACTGCTATTAATTGACAATTACCTTTTAATCCGTTATTCATTCTCATATTACCACTTTACATGTGTATGGTCATGGTCAGTTATATTTAACTCCGTCAAATTTCGTGTCAAAATGTTCGTACCTTTTACCACAACTCTTGAATCAAAGGTCAAAATAATTTGGATAAAATCTTCTCTAAACAATTACACATGGTTGTCGGGATCAAGCTCTAACTCCCAAAATCTTACGATCTTACGCTCCGGTAACCGGACACCGATTTAAGTGGCACAAAGATCTTGGATTTGGCTGGAGCTTTGAACCCCTAGAGAAAGATCTTTAAATCGTGGGATCTTGAGATCCCATCGACCCATTTTTTGTTTTTACCCGCTTTAGACCCGTCTCGACCAGGTCATTAAACAATTGGAATCAACCCATAAACTGACTCATAATTAACCCCGACTCTTTCTGACTGTTGTGCACACATATTTTAGGGTTTTGGGACTTGCAATGTTTTAAATGACCTTCTATTATGTTTTTTTGGATAAAATATTTGCTATTGATGATTAAATTAATGATAATTTTACGTTAAGTAGTTATTTCTATAATTTTGTCTATTTGTTGGGATCTTATGATCCTACGATTTATGCTTTTTCTATACCCTAAGGATCTTTATTGAGATCCCGATTTTGACAACCATGCAATTACATACAAAGTATTCAACTATTTCACTGTTTCGGGATGCACTTATACCTAAGCAACATAAAAGTAGGAGGCTGGAGTAAAATGTTAAAAATCTAGACACTGAATTAAACCATTTACCATTCTGATTTAGTGAATCCTAGATGATCACACAGGATAGAGCTTCACTTCCCACATTGACTAGAAGAGGCATAGTAAGATTTCAGTTACTCCAAAATTTAACAAGATTGCAGTGTATCCTACTTATACCAGTGAAATTAATACAATACTCACCATGGTTTCAAACTGCATGTCAAATCATTTGATAAAACATAGTCTCAGTTCATGTAACCCTACTGAGGCTTTGACAACCACATAACCAGTTCATTATTCGTACTTCAGCATTGCAGGATTAACTAACACCATTAATAATTGCAACCTCAATGAGCAACAAACTAGAAACTAGAAACTAGATTTAAAACCCTGATTTTATTACTAATCAAACAAATAAAGAGAAACTAAGCTAATCCAACACAATAATCACTCACTATCAGTATTGTCAATCGCGGATAACAGAAAACGGCAGTTTGTTCAAATTTCGTCATAGCCACTATACGACAACCCTTTGTACTATAGGGTATCAGTTTGTTCGAATCATGTTATGGCCGCTATACAACTACACTTTGTACTATAGCGTATGGATTTGTTCAATTTCCGTCATAGCCACCATAGGACAACACTTTGCACTATAGCTTATCGATTAGGTCAAATTCCGTTATAACCAGAACCACTATACGACAACACTTAGAACTATAGCTTATCGATTAATTAAAATTCCATTATAACCATAACCACTATACGACAACACTTAGCACTATAGCTTATCAATTTGTTCAAATTCCATTATAACCATAACCACTATACAACAACACTTCGAACTATATAGCATATCGATTTATTCATAATCGTGTACTATAGCGTATCAATTTGATCAAATTCTTGTACTATAGTGTATCAACTTGATCAAATTCTCGCATATAGATTTAGTTCAAATTCTGCTATGCTGGGGCACTACTATAGCAATTATTTGACAATACTGCTACTGCTACCTAGTGAAATCAATTTCTTCTATGGAGATTAATCAGAACAACAACATGAACAGAAAAATGCAAAATCTGAATAGAAAAGTAAAACAGAAAAACTCGAAAAACCTTAAAACTTGCTCCAAAGTGAGTCTTCCTTCATTCCGCTGCATCTCAGATTGAACCGATCCATAACATTTATCCACCACAAGACACAAACTCTCTTCAACCTTCATCGCTCCATGAAAAGTACACACATTCCTACACCACATCGAAGCCCTACGCAAATCCTCCAACTTCCCTAACATCCAATCCAAATCCACCCCCTCCATCATAACCGCCTTCTTCACCGCCACATGATGCCGACACCGTCCACCTCCGATCACCGCCGTCCACATCTCCACACCAGCTCTCCTCCCTTCCCCAATCCGCCTCACAAGCTTCAAATCCTGATGCACACCGACCTCAATCACCGGAGCACAACCTCCAGAACTCGACGTCTGCGAGCCACGGCTGTTCCGACGCCGCTTCTCGTCGTCACCGTCGTCAACATCACCGTCACCGTCTTCCTCATCATCAGTATAATCACATTCAAAATTCGAACCTCTACCACCACCTCCGGCAGCGGCGGCAGCAGCTTCCGCGGCGGAGTGGATTAACGAAAGCACCGCGTAGTTTTTGCGTAAAGCTTGAACGGAGTTACCGACGGTGGACACGTGGCGACACCGAGGACAAGTGAGAGTCGCGTCGGAAGAAGCTGAGAACATTCTAGAAAGACACTCTTTGCAGAAGCCATGGCCACATTGAAGAAGAAGCGGAACTCGTTCTTCTTCGTTGTACCGCGTTTGGCACACCGAACAACAAGGGATTTTCATTTTTTTGTTCCTTTTTCTGAGTTGTTCTTCGACTTATAGAGAAAAGCGCGTTTGATTCGAGTTAAAGGCGAAAGGATCTTGTTTAAGGGTGTGTGAATAGCAGATCCATGGTTAAGTAAAGGGAAAGGAGTTTGAAGTATTTGTAGGGTGAATTTTAAGAGTGATCAATTAGGCTAATGATGAAGGAAATCTAGAGAGAGAAGAAGGTTGTGTGATTTCTGAAAAGGAGGGTTTTTGGTATGCATTTTTGGTTTCACTTTTCTACTTGTTCTTTTTCTATTCTAATTTCATGACAAATGGGTTTGAGGTGAGTAGAGAGGGTGAAATGAAAAACTATTTGGTGGTATGAAGAAGAGTTAAATTCTTTTAAAAGAGATTGTTTTTTTATTTTTATTTTTTCTCAAAGATTAATCTTTACAATCATATCTAACAATATTTCTACATAAAAAAAATCATGTGTGATTTTTTTAAAGAGGATATTTTCAACTTAACAAATCTAACAATTTTGTATTAATTTTTTTTGAATATAATATTATTAAAATTATCTGTGGTGGTAGTGTTCAAATTTTTTTAAAGAGAGTTTTGATGCTTGTTATAATTTTTTTTTATTTAAAAGACAAATCTTTATAATTCAGCACATAATATATTAATTTCTACGTTAAAAAAATTATTTGTAGTTTTTCTTAAAGATCTAATAATTTTGTACAAAGGTTGAATGTGTATTTTTGTGATATTTTTTTTAAATTATGTGTGATATTCTTTTTAGGCTTCTATGATTTCATTCTAATAGAAAAAGTACTTGTTTAGACATTCTTAATGTTTATTTGCTATTTGGTGAGTTTATTCTCATATGCATTTTTTTCTCTCATTTTCTCTAAATATTTGAAATATATAAGGGTGTTTGCGGTGCAGTTTAGGCGTTTTTGACGTTAAAAATTATTTAAATTGCAAGGAAAAAAATATGTGGTTTAATTGACTTTTAAAAGAAAATAACTTAACCAAACCAAAACAAATCAATACAGTTTGATTCGGTTTCGATTGGTTCAGTTTTTAATAAATATTTTATTGAATTTTAGATACACATATAGATGACAACATAACTTTGTATTTAGTCATTCACACACTACCAAATAACAACAAAATTCATCATAATTGAACAATAATTTCTCATTTAATATGTAAAAATTATATTAGACAAAAATGGAATAATGAACATAAAATAATAGTATAAAACAATATCAAAAATATTATAATAAAACAAAAAAATAGAAGAGATGAGAGATTAGTGAAGATGACAAAGAGAGAACATAAGAGATAAAATATTAGAGAAGAATATGTGCGATAAAAATGAAATCAAAAGATGAAACATTTGCATAAAAATGAGAAGTCGAAAAGAAAGAATATAAGAGAGTAGATATTAGAGAAGAAGATGCAAGATGTATGTGACAAAGAATGTGCGATAATACTAGAAGAGATTTGAGAATAATGAAATTGAAATCATAAATGTAAGAATGAGAAAATTGTTCATAATCATAAGGTCAAGGTATAATAGGTTTATGTTTGGATTGGATATAGGTTAAATAAAATTTATGTTGTAACATAATACAGTTCGATTCAGTTTGATTCGGTTTGCAAAGTACAAATCGCAAACCGAATCAAATCGTATGATTTTATTAAAAAATGACCCAAATACATTTGAATTAAAAACAATTTTTTACAATTTTGATTTAGTTTAATTCGATTTACGAATATCTATTAGATTGATTCGATTTTAAAAATTTCTACACATATATCGTTTTGTTTGGAGCTTGTGATAAGCAATGTGGGAAAGGGTAATGGAATGATGGAGTTTTTTGTGCTTGCCAAATTTAAGGTTGTTCCTATATCTATATGGAATATATAAGCTTCTTTTGCTTTCTGTCTTTACACGTTGGGAAAGTATTTCCTAACTCTAGTCCTTTTTGAAAATAATGCTACTTTATTCTTTAAAAAAATGAAGAAAAAAAGGAATGGGAAGTGTGATAGTGGTGAGTGGAGTGGCGATGGTATATTTGTACGAAGGAATGTGGATTTTTTATGCATAATTATGCAATATAAACTTACAATAAAAATATGGATAAAATTAATTAACTTTAAAGTTTATAAATTAAATTTAAAAGTAATATAGTTGCATATTCTTCATGAAATTGTGGAACTTGTGTTAACTTTTAAATGGAGTTGGTTTCATTCTAAAATAATATCTTCAATTCAAAATATTATATACACTTTGTTCATTGTTCAAAATTGCATTCCAACATCATTGTTCTCAGTTACATGTGTAAATTTGACATTTTAAACATCTTATTTGATAAACAACTCCAAATTTAAGTTCTTTGTCTAACAAGTATATATATACATATATATATATATATATATATATATATATATATATATATATATATATATATATATATATATATATATATATATATATATATATATATATATATATATATATATATATATATATATATATATATATATATATATATATATATATATATATATATATATATAAGACTAAATATATGATACTTTAAACGAATTAAAGCATTAAGCATATATATATATATTTATGAAAAGTTAATAATTATATATTTTATTGTTTTTCCAACATAAATTTTTTATTTTTAAATTTTTTAATATATGTTTTTAGAACACAAGTTAACATTATCTTTATTTAATTTGATAAGACTAGTTATTAAAAAATAAAATTTATAATTTGTAGTCAAATTTTTTTTATGTATAAACTATGATAAAATATAGTTGATTTGGTGCTTTCAAATTCGATTTTTAACAATGTCAAAATAGTTGACTAGTCACATAACATGACATCAATAAGTTAATTTTAAAATATTAATGGATAAAAAAATATATAATGTGCTTATTTTAGTTATCAACTCACATTTTTTGAAATAATCTCATTTGAATAAATATAGATGTATATATGATTATTTTTTAAAGATTTTGTTCTGGACTGGGCCCGACAGGCCCAAAAGCATTACTAAGGCTCAGTCCAAAGGGACTCATTAAGGACCACAATGGGCAAAGGGGGTCGCGACCATGCCCGACACCCTAACGTCCACCTCGACATCTCAATGTCCAGCCCCACACAGGGAAGTCATGCTCGACACCCTGCCGTCCGACTCTATGTCCTGGCTTCCAGCTCGACACTCGCTGTCCAGCTCGAGGTCTTAGCGTCGAGCTTGGCACCGTGCTGCGCAGCTCGACATGGTCTCGAGCTAACTTGCTAGGGCAGACTTAGTCCTCCATCGCCCCAACGATACTCCGGAAAGACCGCGTCTCCGTCCGCCCGCACTTCACGCAGCACATCCAGGAAGGGGACCACGTGCTGGTCCCCACTACCCACGTAGAACCTGGCAGTTCCTCCATTGGGCCAAATCCGCCCGGCCCAATGAAGGAACCTTGGCCCAGCGCTGGGGGCTATAAATACCCTCTGTTTCCAGAGGGTCAGGTAATCATCATTTCTAACCTCAACTCTATTATCTGCTAGTACTCCCACTGACTTAAGCATCGGAGTGCCTTGCAGGTACCCCCCCCCCTCCTTCTAGCGCCACCCTCCTCGTTCTAAAAGCCTTCAACTCGGAGCAGCCGTGACGGTCCAAACCTTCTGATCAGGTCAGATCAGTGGCGCCGTCTGTGGGAAACAGCTTCCCCGTCTAACGAACAGTTTTCAAAGACCAAAGCTCAATCCATTCACTGTCATGGCCTCTCCAACTCGTGAAGAACAACACACTCGCGTCCTCGACGCCAACAACGGTCCCGCGGACAAGAATGGGCACCTGGACAATCCCAGTGGTGCCGGCCACAATGCCGTCCCCCTGACAACCGCCCCTGGACCCTCCACCCGCAGGGACGGGAACACTGCGTCCTCTTCGACAACTCCTCCAGGACTCGAAGACGATCCGGAGGCTCTCGCCTATCGCCAGGCTGCCCGGTTCTATGAAGTCCAAGCCCCTGCCGGAGCGGATGCCACTGCTCAGGCACTGTTCGCGGCCATCAACCAGACGAACTATCTCCTGTTCGCACAAGGAGAAAGACTTAGGGCACTGGAAAATGATCGACGCCCCCCGAGGAGACATCAAAGGCCACCATCTCCACTTCCTCGGGTCGAAGAAGTTCGACACCCTACTCCCCCGCGGAGACATTACAGGGAAATCTCTAGGAGCCCCTCTCCCGCACCAAGGCAGAGGCGGCCCCAATACGAAAGACAGCCCGTCATCCCTGCCGAAGAGCCCGTTCGCGACGCCTCAAGGCACGAACGGAGGCACAACAGAGACGGACATGTGACCTTCGCCCACCGAACATCACGTTCAAGGGAATCCCAGCACGAGCAACGTGCCCGACACAACTACAGGACCCTTTCTCTTTCTCCAGAAAGGAGCGACGAGGACGACCCCCGCGGTCCCCTGTCGCAGGCCATCATGGACGCACCTATTCCCCCGGGCATGGAGAAGCCCCCACACCTGAAAGAGTATGATGGAGTGGCAGACCCAGTCGACCACATTGACGGGTTCGAGGCCATGCTCCACTATCACAACGTCGGGGGCCCCATCAAGTGCTGTCTCTTCCCAACAACTCTCAGGAAGGCGGCCATGGACTGGTACAAGGGACTTGCCCCGGGCTCCATCACCTCGTGGCGGAACTTGAAGAACCAGTTCATCAGTTCCTTCACAGCGTCTCGTCGCCATCCAAAGACCGAGGCAGCCCTCGAGGCCATCATCCAGAGACATGATGAGACCTTGAGGGAATTCATCAACCGCTTCAACCGGGAAGCAATCCAGGTCCCCTGCGCGGACCATATGAAGAGGTACTTGCTGGAGAGGGGCCTCCTCCCCGGCACAGAATTCAGGAAAGCTGTAGGCATCGAGCCACCTGCAACTTTCGATGCTCTCCTCGACAAAGCTCGAGCATATATGGATTACGAGGAGAGAGAAGCT